AATCATTCAACATTTATACGACTCCCTCCTCTGCATTGTACAAACTATTTCGATTTGCATTTGTAAACTTTGAAACTGTGTATCTAGTTCGAATATATTCCAACTTTGCAGAAACAGATAGAATTTAAGTCTTAATCTCTGGAGAATTTCCAATGATTCAGTCATCGTTCCCTAGAGAGAAATTATATCTCAGACAAACTTATGGACAGGTATATATGATATAATGATATCCTCAAAAAGTCGTAAAATATTTGGCAGAATGTCAACTATCTCCATGAGGGATCGTTGCAATCATCTCGGGCAGTAAATTGAACATTAGGGGAATTGATATATATATATATATATATATATATATATATATATATATAACCAGGAAGATTCCGCAATGTCATGTCGCTTTTTCACGGAGCGTACCTGCTAATCTAAATGATAATTTTGTAATAAAATGTGAGTCTTGAAAATATGGACCGCCATATCCTAAATATTTTACACTAAATGTGTAATGTTTTTGCCTGTATGAAACACAGAAGCGTAAATACTAAAGAATTTAATACAGAACAAAATCTATAGTACATTTCTTGACGATATTTGGTCATAGTAGTAGAGCCAAGTGGTTAAAAAGATGAAAATAGGTGATGGTGAAATTAATGAAATTTAAAATTAAATTGCTGATTTTTATAAAATTGAATAGAATATATACCTAGTTGCTCTAAAGTTTATTAAATTATAATTATAACATTATTGTTTGCTAACAAAATCTGTAAAGTTAAGGGTTGTGATCACCTGCATCTACAATATATGACTTTCTCTAAAAAATCATTTTAAAACAGATTTTGAAGTCCTACATATTCCTTCTCTATTAATTCAAATTCATTTGAATATGTATGCAGTGCAATTGCATTAACATACACTCTCATTAATAAATGATAAAGTTTTGTTTGCTTACGTGCTTTCAGGCCCACGTTGAAAAGTCAGAACGGAAATCGCGTGATTATGTCGACACTGGTGAACTAAATAGTGGTGAAAATTGAGAAAAATTTAACTAAAATACATACTTATAAATTTCAATATTACATGCCAAAAAAAAATAGTACGGAACCCTTGAACTAGCAACGCAAAACCCATATTGGTAGCTCGGTAAAAACAATTCGCACTTGAACTCTTACTGTGAGAAGAGAGATTATAAGATCTGCGATATACATAATTTAATAATCAAAAAATCTATTGGTTTCGATTTGGAATCTGGAAAATATATACTTAATGTTAATTTGAAAATGTCTGGCATACATATACGTCTTTAAAAAAAAAGATGCATCAACGAGTGAAATATCCCATTCAGCATCGCAATAAATAGACTTATAAAATCGTGTATAATTACAAATGAGACAATGAATGTGTTTGCTCTTTATGAAGTAAAAGGGAAGAGATGATTTTGTTTTTGAAAAAAATATATTTTGATTTTGATATGTGCCCTATGTTAAGTATTGATGTCTTTTGTTTGTTTTTTACAGTTTAATGCATATGAGCATTTGAATTTTAGTAAAATTAAACTGTAAAAACCAAACAACACATGACACATATCAAAAAATAACTATTAAAATATGTTTTTTTTTTTTAAATCAATTCACTCCTTTTACTTCATAAGGGGCAAACACATCCAATTACTCATTTGTAATTATACAGGATTTTACAAGTCTATTTATTTCGATGCTGAATAGGATGTTTAACTCGATGATACATCTTTTTTTAAAGAGCGTTTTTGTATATCAGGCATTTTGAAATCAATATTGTTACTATATAATAACAATATACGGTATTATGTATGCCTGTATGAAACTTATTGTATTGTCAGAATTAATAATGTAGAATTTATTTAACTGAAGTAATTAAGCCTAACCCAATAGTTTACATATGTTGATACGCTAAATCATCCATCATCATAAATAATCATCATCACTATTACTATATCCAAACCCGGTGATGCAGTTCGGTAACACAACTCAATTTCATTAAACCAAAATTGAATCACCTTCAAACTTCCACCGTCAGCTCGAATTTGAATACCTTCCGTGGTTTTGTTCGAAAATTACTCAAATGCTCTCAACACTATCACGTACTAACCCTGTTGCGTTTCACACAGTCGTATGAAAGCATAATGAGTATTTCGAGATAAACTTTTACCGCGCTTTTATTGTAATAAATCAAAAAGTTTACCATCAAGTTAATTATGCCCACCGAAAAACGAGAAATGCTGCTATTAGGTGTGGTATTTTATGCCCGAGTTTCTGTAATTTATGTCTGGGCATTGTGATTTAATAAGCCTGTTTCAAGCCACTTATGTTATCGTTGATTATTAATCTGAATATTAGAAGTTTTTTTTGCGTCATATCGTAATACAATTTGTAACTAGACTTCTATGAACTTTTCTCTATAAATTCGACTCTAAATTTCAGAATTATTAGTCATAGCATTCCTAATGAGTTCTGCGTACACTTTTCTTTTATTCTTGTATTTTAATATATATAATTTAAATAACATATTAATTTTTATATAACTTATGTAAATACATGTGCTTGTACATCGATCCATGCATGCATTTTTTATCCCGCCAAATAGTTTCATAAAAGCTACAAAATCGTTTGAAAATAGTTTTATTTACGGAATATAGAAAACGCATTTTGTGTAATATCAAATGTTTGGCGAATAAAAATCATATTTGCTGATGTTATGTTTGCTTAACAGAATGCAAAGTTGAAGCTCAGTATAGAAACGCAGATTGAAAAATATTTTATATTGCATTTTCTTTTTAAACATCAAAGGTGGAAAAGAGGAATTTTTGCTGAGCCTAAATTAAAAATTCTTGATACGACGTGTGATGAAACAACGTGGTAGTGAAATAATTAAATTTATAAAAATATTGAATTATTCTTTATATTAAAACCAAATTTTAAAAATATTTACATATCTCGTAATAGTAAATTAAAATAGTTTAATGAATCTACAGATATTTATTACCCTTATTGTGCAATTGTGTAAAAGAACAATCGCGTGAAATAATAAAATGTATAACTTTATTTATATGTAATAGTACGGTTTTGTAGCAATATGTATGTGTAAACTATTTTCAATAGTAGTCGAAATAATTTACGTACAAAAGTATAAATTATAAGAAATAAATAACTCAAAAATAGAAGATAATTCAACATAGTTTTACCAAGCTTTTATGTGTACGTGTTTTGGGTGACGAAAGAGTTATGCAGAAATTATATTTTCACTAATAGTTTCACAAATTTCACACGTTTGAGAACAATTACGGTAGAGATAATATGTACTGAAAAGACTTATTGACTTGTGGCATTCCAAATCCTAAAAAGACAGCATTGAACGTAAAACGTTTTAGGAATGTAGTCGTTTGAAATAGACAGGGGGGTAGTTTTAAGAAATGAGAGTAAAACAGTACTTTTTTGGATTTTGATTAAATACAACTTGTTCTAATACATACAACTCAGAAAAAACCACAAGAACGAGATCGTGAATAATTGATTTTAAATTAAGGTTGTAAACTGTTTTACAAAAATGTTTGTCTTTAAGAAATGCTCAGTTTTCCTGAAATTTCAAACGCATTTCTTTATATTTTTGATCCCTAAACTTTTGAATATAAACATCATGATCAAGATCAATATTTAATCTTTTAAAATGACTATCATTAATTAGAACATTCTCATGTTTTATGTCGACTGAAGTGAGATTTTTAGAGATACGGGGGGTTTGACAAAAAATCACGTAGGGGGGAAGGGGTATAGTAAGATATCACGTGTATTTATTTTTCAACTGCTTTTTTTTAAAACACTCAAAATTTAAAAAAAAAATCAAAATTTTTTTGAAATACATGCAACTCAGGAAAAAACCACAAGCAATGAGATCGTGAATAATTGATTTTAGATTAAGGTTGTAAACAAAAAAGGTAAGTAAGGTTTTACAAAAATGTATTAAGTTAATCCATACCATGTAAGTTTTCTTAAAATTTCAAACGCATTTCTATATATTTTTGATAGCTTAAGTCCCTAAACTTCTAAATAGAAAGTCATGATCAAAATCAATATTTAATCTTCTAAAATGACTATCGTTAATTAGAACTTTATCATGTTTTATTTCAAGTAAAGTGAGATTTTTAGAGAGACGGTGGTTTTGACAAAAAATCACGTGGGGGAGGGAGGAATATAGTAAGATATTACGTGTATTTATTTTTTATCTGTTTTTTTTTTAAGTGGAAACATTTAAAAAGTAGTAATAAATACAATTTTTACTCGTTACTAAATATACACGTGATGTTTGGTGGTGGACGGGAGGTAATTTTTAATATCACCACGTATCACCAAGGGGGAGTGGGGTCTAACGCTTATAATTCTACCTAATTTTGAAAGTAAGTCTAATAATTATTTAATTAAAAAGAAAAATTTCTTTGACTATTGTGTTTTGATCGTAGTATTAGAATTTGGCGAAATTGATAATTAATAACTTAATAACGAACTATCAATAATAATTAAAAAATAAATTTAACACTATTAACTAATGTTTATAATCTAGCAAAGAAGTTTGGCGTAGCAAATCATAATACAATTCACAATAAAAATAAAAAAAAGTCAATTAAATCAATATTCCGAAATAATTATATTAAATCCGAAATAAATCTTTAAAAAATCTATCACGTGATTAATGGACGCACCAATTTGTTAATAATAAAAGAATGAAGCGTTTTTCCTTGCAATTCATAATAAACTTCACAAAATAGTAATTGTATATAATTATAGTCCACATTTTGCGAATAAAAGTGTGACTTCTTTTTTTTAAATGAAAAAGTCTAACTCCCAATTTGATACACGAACTAAAATCAAACGTGACTTGATGCAACTGAATCAAAAATACAAAAAAATAAATTTATCCCGGCTCTCCATTTATTACCATGTAGCATTCGAAGAAAATTGAGAATAGCGACTCACCATTGTGTAATGAAATCCGGCCCGATGGCGTAGACAGCGCTGGAGGATCTGTTAACGGCTTCCGTGCCGTTGTCCGTGATCTGGGCCTCCATGTGGCTTGAGGCGAGACGGGACCCGGGACGCTGGTCATCTGCACGCCGAACGGCACATCAGGGCATGGGGACGACTCGCCCCTATGATCTGGGGAAAGATAATGGATAGAAATTAATTAAAAACCAAGTTTATAGTTGAATGAATTTTGTTGTGATATTATAGTTGATATTACTTTTAGTTATTTTTATTATTTTATTTTTCTGAATAAAAAGCCTACTATTTCTACAAGGTATAGTTTAATTCAAATATACCCAAAGAAATCTCATTTCAATGATGACATCTATATTCTAACAGAATTGCGTAGCTGTTTATAAGCGAATAAATTCTTTTCCCTTTTGTAAATTCAAACAAGAGGCAATTACAAATTCAATACGTAAATCCGATGTCAAGCCCCGTGTTTGTTTTCTAAATGGCAAATCGTTCCGACGGTAAACAATATAAAATGCACATCGAGGATGCTGGAGGAATATTTAAATATAGGAAATAAAAAGAAAAAGTCGAGTAAATGTATCTCTGATATGCAAAATGTAAGATAAAACATGCACAATTCAAAACTCATTGACTAAATTTTTAAAACTCGTTTCTAGCTTAGAAAAATATGTTTTGGAAATATTATTATTTCAAAGTTTAAAAATCTAATCTGCAAAAGGTAAAATGATAGCTTCTTTAATTAAGTACTCCATAATATAATTACGAAAACTAATTTAAAATTCAGAAATATAATCTTTGAAATTATTATTAATCTTAAATTTAAAAATCTGGACTCTCGAATGTGCAAAAGACTCAATAAACTGAATTTTTTAATTTATAGTTTGAAAACATATTTTAGAGAATCAATTTTGCGATCCTCCCCAATTTTTCTCACAAATGCCTCAAATTCAAAATGGTTAATATTAATTTTGAAAGTATTGAAAGATATGTAAAAAATTAAATATGCGAGTTTTAAAAAAACTTTCTCTTATAATAAGAAAATAATATATTTATTGATAAATACAACATGTACATTAATAAATAGAAAAATTTGTAGTTCATAATGAAAGAAGATGTTTATAATAACAAAATAACTCAGAAAATCCTGCAATATTTTATTATATTTAGTAAATACTAAGTTTGAAATTGTATATATATATATATATATACATATTTATTTATATATATATATATATATATATATATATCTGCAACTATTCCATATGTAACATCAGCAAATTTTTTGCTAGTACTTAGAATGTCTAAATCCATTGCCCATTGGTAATTTATTATTTTTATACTCTTTTAAACTTTATTTCATACTTTATACTATATTATAATTTGAATGTTTTTAAATTTCAATTCTACTAAGTAATTAATAATAAATGCTATGTAAGTCTTTGTAAAAATATCTCTGATGAGCATGTTTTCTTTTTTGGTATAAGAATATCCAAAATATGTTTGTAATGCGCTTATTTTCATTTTACGTTTAATATTCAACAACACCTCTAACATTTGACCGAAAATTGCTTTAATTAACACTTATATTAAGCATAAAAATCTCCTTTATTCGCACAGCCTTCCTTTAATATATATTTTCATTGAAAAACGAGTCCCAGCTCCGACGAGCGTAGAAATTAACAGAAATAACGAGTTTGAAATTGCAATAATGATGTTACGGCATGAATAGCAAGCGAGGGCACCGCGGAAAATGCGGTTCCTTAATTATATAAAATACTTCTCGCAAAATCATCTAATTTTGTTTCCTCAACGCTTGGAGGAATGCCAATATTTTATTTACTTCCGTCATTTGGTCCCCAGAAGAAACCCTGATTAAATTTGAATTTTCTCCAATGGGAAGTGAGAAAAAGAAATGTCTGGAAAGAAGCAGTAGGTAGCTCGGTAAAAATATTGATCACATACAATAATTTTTAATATTTTCTATACCAAGGTATAAATCTATTTATATTTATATGGTTTGATATTACATAACGTTGTTGAAGTGAAACCAATTAAAATCAAAGGGGAAAACTTCGATACAGTAACTTTATAGTTATGCAATACAACTTTAAATGCAGTTATGCAATCTATAATAATTTTGCCTGGACACAGGTTATGTAATTTTCCGGAAGCTCAGATATTCAAGAGGTAATTCAAGTAGCAAATATTAAATTTGTGCTCCAGCTCTTGAATTTGCATTAGAGCGAAATATTTTACATCTATTTTCAATGTAAAATTACATATTGAATTGATTTGAACTTGCTGCGTTTTTCGGAACTAAAAGTCTCCTTTGTACTCAAAAAAATATTTACTTCACCCATCATTTATAAATATTTTTCTATTTATAGTTCTACTGCATTATTAAATTTGAAATCAATATTAAATCAGATAAAAACAGTATCCCCAGGCCAGTTTTTCATATCGAGAGCAAATAAGAGTTGTAAATCAATAAAAATCAAATCATAAGATCTATTATATAGGTTTCTATTGTGAACACGTTGCCTTCGGGCGATTGTTTGGGAGATTTTCTACACTCGTTCTTATAAAGAAAAATTTAATAGAAGAGCTGATAAATAATAATAGAAATAATAAATCCTGAATAAAATTTTATCAAAAAAGTATCATAATTATAAAAACTAATCGAGCAACTCAGTGGTTGTCTTTTCTCTTTATGATGATATTATTATTAGATACTTCTGATAGATGTGTGATATTTGTTTCACCGATGTTCCAAATTTCTATTTTTGCTTGAAATCAATTTTCAATTTGTTTTCAATCTATATTTGGCAGTGAAATCAAGTATTACTACTGTTGACCAAAACTTTCATCCCAAGGCTACAAAAGCTAATAATTTCTTTTTTCAGATTATTTCCCGGTTGGGATTTTTCTCAATGCATTTTCTAAGCTGGGAATATTTCTTGGCTCTCTGTTTATTATAGATTATATGTTGAACGAAGCATTGTGTGTCGAACAGTACGTGTAGTTTTGGTTCTAGGATTTTTCACTTGACAAAAAATCCCTTTGACAAGGCGAAATCCTTTGGCAAATAACAAGCTCGAAGCACGTAACTCGAAGCAATCGCCAACCGAGGCACAATTGCTGACAAAAATGTTAACACACACTTATATATCTCAAATACAAGTAGAAATGTATGTTAATATTTAAACTAGTGGTATATGACGTGAAGTTTGATAGAACTTTTTGTTTGATAGTCAAATATTCCATGAGTAAAATTAAACAGCGGATAGAAATTCGTATTGCACACGAAACTAAATACGAAACCCTAAAAGAGTGCAAACAATATGTATGGAAACAGAACTGATATTTGACTATTCTGAAACAATAGATAATTTATATGTATTTGCATTCTCGTATCATTTGATGTTTATATTTTTAATTTACATACACACACATAAATGTATGTAAGCAGCCTAAATAAAAAACAATAACTAAGTTTATCACTATGTGAATAATCCCATATCAACCTAACCACATCCTTCACAAACACATCAGTAGATTTTAAAGTGCAATTAAAAATAAATCAAACTCACTAAATATGATATCAACATCGGAATATCCGTATAAACAACTTCAACTTTAAAAAAAGGTCATGGCATACTATGAATCACAAATAATTAATCCTACAGTTGCAAATCTATAGTAAAATTATCAGTAAAACATTTTTTGCAAAGTTAACTATTATTGTCAATGAAATCATTATAATAAAGACACGGATATGACTATGATCTATAAAAATTTATATTCAATTGATATGTAACATCACACAAGGTTGCAAAAATTTCATTGTTAATACCTATATTCGCAAGTAAACAACAAATGCTATTTATTAATTCTAGATATTAAAATAGTTTAGTAATTAATTTTATTTGATCTTGTACTACCAAATTACGACACACAAGATTAAAAAAATTACCAATAACAAATTCTGTCTTATGCTCCACATTTAAAGAAAATGTTAAGATCATGAGCATTGAACTTACTATAATACATATTTTACTACAATACATATTGTCTCTATATATGAGTCTCTATAAGCCTCTATATATAGTATAGTCTAGTCTTGCCTATGGTAAAAATTCATTCTTTTATTCAAAAATAGAAAAAATAAGTAATAATACGGAGTTTTTATATAACAAACAGTATGAATAATAATGCATCAATTGATATGATAAGATAAAATTTCATAATTAATTATGTTTCAATTCCTAATTAGTGTAATCAACTGGGCCAATATCTTTATCATGTTTTCACACTTTTTAATGGTAAAAACCAGAAATTTGTGGAAAAATACATAAACATATAAATATCATTATATACTGATCACTAAACTTGGTAAAAACTTTCCTAGGTAGATTTTAATTATATGGAAGAGAGTAAAATAAAAATGTAAAGAATAACAATATATAATTAGGAAAAAACATTTTATGGAAATATGACAACAAAAAAGCAAGTAATTCAGAATAATTAAAGTTGACTTAAAAGGACCTACCCTTACCTTAGCTAAGGTTTAATTAATATAATCTTCTTCCTGTTTGATCGTATTGGATCTAGAATATCTACTGTTGAGTAACATTTTAATATTTTAACAGTATATAATAACCTCTACATATTCTAAATGCTTTCCCAGGCTATGTAATTATTTAAAAAAAAAAATAAAAAATAGCATATAAAAAGAACACGTATTTCTACATTCAAGCAACATACAGGTTGTAAAATAATAGTGTTTCCAGAAATAATGATAGTGAACATAGTAAATGATGTGTTCTATCGATAACTCAAATATTGATTAGATTTCCTTTTTTCCCAAAGCGTCATATCCGTATGCAATTACTACTAATTTATAGTATTTAGTTCAAATGCAATCTGCACGGTCTTATCGTTCAGCAAGTTTTCCACGTTTTCATGCCATGAATTGGAGCATGTATATATATTATATACGTGTATTTTAATATATATGTAGTCGATAGTCACATGCTCATTAGTAATTAATACTCTTGGCATTTCCAAAAACATTAATCATAACAAATGTGTCAGTAATTCAGGACAACGGCTCTTAACAAATGCGCCATCAAACGATGAAATTTATAGCGTTCCGT